GTTTACCCTGAAAGACCTTTACTTTATTTTCATTCTTGGAGGAGGTGGGGAGTGGGGAGGGAAAGAGAGCCATGTGCCTAGACCGAGAGAGGAGCTGGCCTACTGTAACAAAATAGAGTGTAACAAATCCTACAAAAGTTTAGAATGTATTGATTCTTTGGAGAGCTATATAGATTAACGACTTTCTTTATGCTTATCCCAGGAAGGTATTTAATCATAATATAAATGGGGCTTTAGAAAAAATAAAGATTTAGCAGCGTTACTTCTCCTTATTTGGAGAACTTCAAAAGGACTTGTGAGAGTGGCTGCAAATTACTCCCTCACCCCACCGGAATCTCCCCTCCCTAACCAAAAAAGCCACAATAAAATAATAGTTTGTGCTTTTTGTTGTTGTTGTTTTTCCAGCTTTTTTTTTTTCCTTTTAAAGGCATATTGAATAAGCAAATAGATTTGTTTGAAGCCTGGATTCCTTAATGCAGGTGCAGGCCTGGATGCTGTGACCAAGAAGCTAAGCCAAATCCGTGGTTTATGGTATTTGGCCTGCCTCCCACTACCCCCCCCCTTTTTTCAGGCCATTCCAGGCCCATGAGGCCCAACTCAGCCTGGGCAGCAGGTTTCTGAGGTTACCTTGGGAAGGGTGAGCTTGGAGAAAAGAGATTAAGCAGTAAGAAACTTTTCCTCTTTCCTGGGTGTCAAGTACAAGCTTAGAGCAACTTCCACCCCAGGACGGAGGCACTGTGTTATAAGTTACTGGAAAGCGAGTATCTGCTATGGCACCCCATATACTCACTTTTCTTGAAGCGTCTGTGGCTTCTGGGGCTTAGCGCTCACCCAAATTGAGGGCTGCACTTAAAATCTTATCTCCACATAAAGAATCAAAGGCCTCTGTTCTTCTTTATACTTTATTTGCTCTTTGTTTGGGATGCAGTTACAAATAAAATTTTATTAAGTGATCTTTTCAATGGAAAAATCTAGTTTCACTTTTAATGTTCACTCCCCTCTCCCATAAAGAAAAAGCACAGATGGAGCCTTTTTAAAAAGATGCAGCATCTCTCCTTTCCACAGAGAGAAGGTGCACAATTCTGGAGCTTGAGGATGGTGTGTGAGTGGAAATTAAAGTGGCAGACTTGGGGCATCAGGCAGCAGGTCCCCCGGCAATACTAGGAAAGTGTCTCCCCATGTAGATACCAGTGCTGAAGGCAGGCAAGGTTTCATCTAAGGTTTGGTCCACTTCCAGGATTCCCTAACATAGAAGAGTGGCCTGAGATGCTACAGAAGGTAAGGGCTTCTATTGTTTGGGAGGAAAAAGAGAAACCTTCCCATTTTTCTGGGATGTCTACATTCTGGAAAATACCCACCAAAGGAGGTCAGTGTCCTGCCACCACCCCATCACAAGAGTACATGGTGGTTCTCTCAAGAGTGTGTATGCAAGTATGTGTGTGCATGCAGGAGTGGGTCATAATCTAGGTCTCTGGGTCAGAGGCAGGATTCTCAGGGGCTCTTAAGCCCCAGTCTTTTGTTCGAAACTGGTGACACCACCAGAAAGGCAATTTCAGTGGAAAGCTCCCTTTGGCAGTGCACAGTCCCCAGAGCAGAGGCCAGGCACCTAACAAAACTATGCTGAGCCACTCTGCCTCCCCGTTGGAAAAGATGGAGAGGACACTGCTGGGTTAGGGAGGGATAGGGCGAGGAGGAACATTCTTCGCGTTAATCCAGAAGGCAGAAGGGAACACCTGAGTTCCAGGAGATTTTGCAAAACCGGTATAGAAGCAGGCTGAGGATGCAGGAGTGGGGAGGGTGACGATGAGATTTGGCTCTGGGCTGGAGTGGGGAGAATAGGGACAAATGTTTCGGGGCGGGCGGAAGGATCCCAGGCCCATTGTCTTTTCTCCTGGGCATAGGGCCACTACAATGCAGGGCTTCATGAGTTGGAGCTTCCATTTGGGCGCCCATTTGATGGTGTGTGGGGGGGTTGGGAGTAGGCTCTGGCCTTGAAGTCCCTGATAATTAGGATCTCTATGCCTTCTTTGAGAAGTCCGCACTGAAATGGAAACTGAGCCTGCTGGCTATTGGCAGATTCTCCACAGTCCTAGATACATCTCAAAATGAGCCGGGGTGTGTATGCCGCATGCACAGATGGAGAAACTGAGGGTGGTGGAGGAAGAGGGGCTTGTTCCAAGTTGCAACACAAAATCACGCCAGAGCCAAGGCTGTGGACCTTCATCAAACATGGAATGACAGAGACTGAACTGGAAGGAAAGGAGCTTGAATCAGCCTGCAAGAGAAAAAGCATTCAGAGGCCTCAGTGTTAGCTACTCCCCACATTTTGCTCACGAGAAGTGGGTCGGGTCCAGGAGGTTTTTCCTAGATGCCTCCTAGAGGCCTGCACCACCCCCCTCCGCTGGGGCACATAGGTGGGGAGAAGGGCCTTCCTAACCAAGGCTTGGCCAGATGGTCTGAGGCTTCCTGGGGAGGAAAGGGGTGGTGTGGCTCTGTTCAAGGCCCCACAACCTCCTGTCCTCACCAGAAGGGAAGACAAGTGATCTTGGAGTCCTCCCAACACCTTTTCTGGCGTGGGTTGGGGTGGGGGGAGAGAACAGAGGTGTAAATCCCACCGAGCCCCCAGAGCCTGGAGCCCTGCAGTCCTGAGGTTCGGGGGAGGGAGGGCGGAGAGGGGACTGTGCGGTAGGAAGTTTACAGAACTGCTCTCTGCACGCAGGGTTCCTCTGCTGCTTCCCAAACTTGCCCATTTTCAAAGAGAAAAGTGAGCCGGAGAAGAGAGGAGCTTCATCCCCGAGCCATCGGTCCTAGCAGCCCATCACCAGCGCTATTGTTCTGGCAACACCCGCAGCCAGTCACACAAACTAAAGGTGGCTCCTTGGATCACCCCCACAGATCCTTTAGAAAGACCCTTCTCCACAAAGGGAAGTCCAACGGGAAGCAATTATTTGGATAATTCCCCACAATCATCCCTGCTTGCAGGCCTCTGATCAAAACTATCTCTACTGAACAAGTCAACCGAATGATTAGCCTCTTTATCCTTCCATGTAGACGCGCCCCAGCCTCCTTCCCCCGACTCCCCCAGAGATGCGCAGGGATGGGCCCGGTGGCTTGGTCCTCATTCTCCGCAGAGCCGCGTCCCAAGGCGTCTCAAAGCTGGACCTGGCTGCGGCCCGAAAGCGCCAGGGCCGAGGCCCAGGAAGGGCGCCTGGGTGGGCGCTGTCCAAGCGGCCAAGCGACCGCTGCAAGCGCCTCCCCCTCCCTCGCGGCGCCAGCACGCGGCCCCGCCGGGCTCCGCTCCCAGTCGCCTGCCACCGGCCCGCCGGGCACACGCCTGGGGCGGGATGGAAGCTGCGCCAAGGCCGCCGAGGTGCCTGCGGCGGCGCCGACCAACCAGAAAAGCTCCTCCGGCCCCTCAACCTCCACCACCCCCATCTCTTTTCTCGGATTCACCCTAGGAATAGCCCAGAGGGCTCCCCTCTTAGGCATCCCCCAGCTGGTCCGGAAATAATCCTGGGGGGGGGGCGATGCTAGAGGCAACTGAGGTCATCCTGGGGGGTATCACTGCCCTCCAGCTACCTAAAGCGCTGATCACAATCACCCCTCAGTGACATCACCTCCCTACATTTGCTCAGCCAAGGGGAGCAAATCCTAGTTTCCACACCTGGGTGGGACATTAGAGACCATCTCATTCAAACTTCTATTGCTGCAGATGAGGAAACTGAGGCTCGGAGAGGATGCCGCTTATCAAGGGCCACAGAGCTAGCGAGACCCAGTCTCCACAGTACTTTTATTTACAAGTCCAGTAATAATTTAATTATTAGTCCAGTAATTCCCATGGAGTTCTCCTCTCCCCATCTTGCTACTCCAATCGCAAATCTGCTTCAGCACCCTCAAACAGTGAAGACCCCCAAGAGAATGACAGTAAATAGGAGAAGAGAGCAGGAAAAATAGAGCCCCACTGTCCCCAACCCGCACGCAGCCCGCCCGTTGGCACTTTTTTGGCTCAAACACTTCTCTGGGCTTTGCTCCACGTTCTCAGGAGAATCCCGAGGCCCTTCACCCCAAACCCTTTACCCCAGACACCCCCAACTCCCAGGGCCACTGGCCACTCCAGCGACGCTGGCCCCCCCTTTCTAGAGCCACCCCCGGCCGCAGCCCGCCCTGAGCGCGCCGCCTGTTTATTCAGCCTGGAGTCCGGCACGCGCCAGGCGCACGCACTGCAACAACAAACCCGGCTGAATGGAGAGTTTGCAAGGAGCGGGCGCAAGGAATGGGCGGGGGGAGGGGGGAGGCGGAGGGAGAGTTTAGGGAGTGGGTGGGAGGAGGAGGTGCGAGGAGGAGGGAGCGGGGGCCGCAGCCGCCCGCTGCAGCAGCGGGGAGTGGGGGGCGAGGCGGGGCCAGCGCTGCGCTCGGGGCTGGGTGTCCCATTGAAAAGGCGGCCGCACTCCAGCCGCCCAGCACTCTCTCACTTCTGGCCAGGGAACGTGGACGGCGCACCGACGGGGAAGCGGCCAGGGAGGGCGAGTTAAAGAAGGAAAAGAGAAAGGAAGGGAGTTAACAAAATAATAAAAACAGCCTGAGCCACGGCTGGAGAGACCGAAAGCCGGCGCAAGAGAGCGCAGCCCTAGGGGGCGAGGAGCGGGAGACTCGGCAGAGCGTGCTCGCCACTGACTTTTGCTGCTGCTGCTGCTGCTTCTTCTTCTTCTTTTTTTTTTAAACAAGAAGGCGCTAGCGGCAGCCTCACACGCGAGCGCCACGCGAGGCTCCTGAAGCCAACCCGCGAAGGGAGGAGGGGAGGGAGGAGGAGGAGTGGAGGGAGGAGGAAAAGCGTTTGCACCTTCTTCTGCTCCCACCCTAAGAAGTCTCCGGGGATTTTGTATTTTTTTAACTTCCCTCCGGCCTCACTGCTCAGCTCTCCCCTTCTTCCCCTCTCTGTTCGCGCACCCGGGTCCTGCCTGCGCCCCCCCCCCCCCCGCCCCCGCGCGCCCGCACCTCGCGGCCTCGCCTCTCCCCTTCCGCGACTCCTCCGCGGCCGCTGCGCATGGAGAGCTCTGCCAAGATGGAGAGCGGCGGCGCCGGCCCGCAGCCGCAGCCGCAGCCGCAGCCGCAGCCGCAGCCCTTCCTGCCGCCCGCAGCCTGCTTCTTCGCCACGGCGGCGGCGGCGGCGGCGGCGGCGCAGAGCGCGCAGCAGCAGCAGCAGCCGCAGCCGCAGCAGGCGCCGCAGCTGAGCCCGGCGGCGGACGGCCAGCCCTCAGGGGGCGGTCACAAGTCAGCGTCCAAGCAAGTGAAGCGACAGCGCTCGTCCTCGCCCGAACTGATGCGCTGCAAACGCCGCCTCAACTTCAGCGGCTTCGGCTACAGCCTGCCGCAGCAGCAGCCGGCCGCCGTGGCGCGCCGCAACGAGCGCGAGCGCAACCGCGTCAAGCTGGTCAACCTGGGCTTCGCCACCCTGCGGGAGCACGTCCCCAACGGCGCGGCCAACAAGAAGATGAGCAAGGTGGAGACGCTGCGCTCGGCGGTCGAGTACATACGCGCGCTGCAGCAGCTGCTGGACGAGCACGACGCGGTGAGCGCCGCCTTCCAGGCGGGCGTCCTGTCGCCCACCATCTCCCCCAACTACTCCAACGACTTGAACTCCATGGCCGGCTCGCCGGTCTCCTCCTACTCGTCCGACGAGGGCTCCTACGACCCCCTGAGCCCCGAGGAGCAGGAGCTGCTCGACTTCACCAACTGGTTCTGAGGGGCTCGGCCTGGCCAGGCCCTGGTGCCAACGGACTTTGGAAGCAGGTAGGTGGCATTTGGGAGCGAACGGGACGATTTCCTTTCCTACACCTTTTTCCCTCCGTCTTAGTGTCTGTGTGTGTGTGTGGGGGGGTGTCTCCACGGAGATTCGCGGGGCCCAGTTAAAGAATTTGTTAAACTTTGTCGACTTCAGATTCTGGTGTGTGAGTTTCAGTGTTGGCCTCTGAGCGGGCTTTGCCCAGTTCTCCAAGACCTCAGGGTGGGGTGAGGTGGGGAGATGCTCCGACCTGTCAGAAGAGGTGCTCTACCTGACAGATCCTCTCCCAGACCTCCACTCCCCCCACACACACCACCAAGTTCACACTAACCTCTCCCCTTCTTCTTAAGTTACAGGGGGACCGCACAACCTGCATCTTTCATGCTTTCTTGCCAGTGATGTCAGAAGGGAGAAAAAAAGGAAAAGAAGAAAAGAAGGGAAAAAAATAAAATAACATCAGGCAACCGACCCCAAGACCAACCAAGCATTGCCTGCCTGAGAAGCAAGGCTCTGGCAAAACAGGGATGCGCTCAGAACTGTATCTTTGCACTCCAATTGTCGCCGGAGCTCTGAAGGGTGACTAGGACCTGAGTCAACGCGCAGAAGGCAGCTTGTGTGCAAAGGCACTGGGCTCCCGGCAGAAGGGAGCAGCAGAGCCCTATAGAAACTCCCACCCACCAGTAACAGGCAGAACCACCGAAAGCACTCGCTAGGATGCCTTCACCTCCCTGCCCTCTGTGAAAGCGCAGTTCTTAGCCCTATAGAAATGGGTTGGTGTCTCTCTTCGAAGCATCCCCCATCCTATCCCTGTAAGCTGTGGACATCTGTCTGCAGTGAAATTATGCTCTACTCAGTCCTTTGAAACTCCGATCCTCGGCGGGGGCGGGGGGGGGCTCCCTACATCCCCATTTCCTCACATCATCTTTTCTACCATTTTCATCATAGAATGCTTCCAATCTTTTGTGAATTTTTTTATTATAAGAAAAATCTATTTGTATCTATCCTAACCAGTTTGGGGATATATTAAGATATTTTTGTACATAAGAGAGAAAGAGAAAAAATTTATAGAGTTTTGTACAAATGGTTTAAAATGTGTATATCTTGATACTTTAACATGTAATGCTATTACCTCTGCATATTTTAGATGTGTAGTTCACGTTACAACTGCCATTTCTCCTATGTGGTTTTGTAAAGAACTCTCCTCATAGGTGAGATCAAAAGGCCACCAGATGTACTTCAGCACCAATGTGTCTTACTTTATAGAAAGTTTGTTAATGTATTAATGATGTTATTAAATACTGTTCAAGAAGAACAAAGTTTATGCAGCTACTGTCCAAACGTCAAGTGTGGCAGCCAGTTGGTTTTGATAGGTTGCCTTTTGGGAAATTTCTATCATTGCCTTTTTTTTTCTTACTGTTTTATTACAAACTTACAAGAAACGTGTATAACCCTGTTTTATACAAACTAGTTTCGTAATAAAACTTTTTTCTTTTTTATAAATGAAGATTATCAGCTGCCTCCAAGTTTTCCTTGACTCCACAGTCCCTGTCCAAGTTATTTTCAAAATGTCAAAGGGAAAGAGTGGGTAGGGGAAAAGAGGGTGGTGTGAAACACGCTAAGTTGGCAGAAATGACAAACATAAGTGCTACAACCAGAGGTGACACTATGATAAATGTAGAGGAAAAAGATGTCTATAAGCAAAGGTCACTTTCTTCCTCTTTTATGCTGCAAACATACACATACACCTAAAGAACAGGTGATGAAGAATGGCTGCTACATCTTTTGATGAGATGATTATATGTATTTAAAATCCACCCCCCCCACACATACACACAAAAATAAACTGGGAAGAGAGGGTCCTCACCTTACTTTCTAACCCTTATCCCCATTCCCCCATTCGGAGTTTCTCATGGTGAAAGTGGAAAGGCCGCATGAGATAATGGGCATGAGGGGTGGGTGGAAGGCTGGTGGTACCAGACCTCGGGCTGGGGGAGGTAGCCTTCACAGTACTCCCAGGGGCGGGCGTGCTCTTCCTTCACTTCTAGGCACATATTTTCTATTCCTTTGCCTCACTCCACACACTTTCCATATTGATTTTAAGTAAAGGATGCATATGATATGAATTCCCTGCAGGAGGAGTTAGATTTAAATGAATAAAAGCTTAGAAATGTGTGGTCGCTTTGAGACACTGGCCTATCTAAGCTTGTGACTCTATCCGAATAGCGTGAGCTGCGTGTAAAAGTACCCAATTACCAAGATTCAAAAAGAAATTGGTGGGTTTTTGGCTGGCTTGCTTCTTGTCAGTTAGCAAGGACGTGATCAGAATCCTACCCCTTCTCTCGCAGGCTCCTCACTCGCCGCCTGCATTACTTGCAGATTCAGTTTGCGTGTCTCCAGCCAAGCGGAAAGCCTAGCGCAAAATGCATCTTACAAAACCCAACAAAGAACGGAGAGCCAGCACGTCTTCCAGAGTTAAAAATCTAGTCTGTGTTGGTACATCTATACCATTTAGTGGCACAGAATAATCATTTTTTAAAGCCGCGATGCACGGAGCACGCCACAGTGTCTGATGTCATTTTGCTAAATGACCCTCTATAGAATGCACATTGAAGCTTCAGTCCCTTTCAAAGAGATGAGCGTAATTAAGGGGAAAAAAAATCAGTAAATTCCTCATCGCCATAAATAATCAGACTTTCTGCCAGCAGTGGGCCAATTTAGAGCTTACTTGAGGGAAGTAATGCTTTTGTGATGCCTGCTTTTATTTTTATCTTCTCATTTGGAGAACCAGAGCTGGGGTACCCCCCATTTCTTTTAATTTAGCTCCTTTGCAAGTTTCCAGATAAGGTATGCAAAGAAAGTGTAGCAAGTCATTTATGGCTATGAATATAACATTAGGATAATGTTTCAGCCCCCACAAAGGGGATTTTCCCTCCCTTCTCCTCGTGAAGACAGGTGTTCTTTTAGTCACTTCTGAATGGGAAATACCCAGTCTCGTTAAACTCGAGGCAAAGTTAGCCGTTGTTTGCCACAATGCGAAGGCAAACTCTAAAAATTCACAAAAACACACAATTTTGCCGAAGCTAGGAAAGGGCAAAGCAGGGATTGGGCAAAATCTCATTACATCTGCTCTAATCGCTTAGCAACACAAAGCCTGGGCTTGTGCGGGGAAGGGAAGCCATTCACTGCGCTCTGACAGGCCGCATTCAGCCGGCATTAGTCAGCTCCATAAATCACCGCTGCCCATTGGCTGCGCGGCGGGCTTTGCAGTGGCCCTGGGCTGTCAGCGAAATACAAAATGTAGACCCCAGCGGCCAGCAATCGTGGCCTCTCCCCCGTCCTGGCCCCCGCCTCACTTTTTTTTTTTTTGGAGGGGGTACTGTTGAGGAAAAGTGCCTTGACTTTATTGACTGAGAAATCTTACCTATTCAAACAATGGCCCGGAGACCACCGAGTGAAGGCTGGAGACATGCCTGAAGTCCAGGACCAGGAGTGGGCAGTGCGGGAGAGAGAGAGAAAGCCGACCTGCCGCTGCCTGCCGCGCTGTTGGATGCGAGCCTTACCAGTCTGAGCTGGAGCTGCTGGGACGCACGTTGCACCCCTTTGACAAAGCCTTTTAAAATTTCTAAATTGGAAGTAGGAGTGGGTGTCTGGAGAAAACTCAATCTCAAGTTCCCGTCAGGCAGGCCCACCAAGGAAGAGAGAAGAAAACAGGTCTGCTCTCTGCATAGAGCATCAAAGAGTAGGACTGAGATGTAGACAGAAGAAGGGGGTGGGATGTGCATCCCCACCTGGCTCTCCTTGCGGGGCTGGGGTGCTAGAACACAGAAGCCACAGCCATTCCGTTCCATCCCAGCTTCAGTGTTCCTGCTTGTCCCAGGGGGTTGATGGTTGTCCCAGCCCCATGAGGAAAAAAATGTAAAGCAGTTAACACTCGCTGGGTAGGGGAGATGGTACAGCTCTATGTAAATGTGAGTGCCTGTTGTTGTTCTTCTTGACTTCCAGCCTTGTCTCTCATTTTCACAGGATCAGTCTGCTCATGCATCTAAATCGCAGCCTGGATTTGAGGCTTACCTGTAAACCACATAGGAAGAAGTCTGGTGGTACATGTGGAGTTAAGGCAGTCTTCACTTGGAAGGTCAGGTGACCTCACTTCAAATGCCACCTCCTCCAAGGAGTTTCCCTGAATGCTCTATGTAAAGCAGCTCTCCACTGGCCACAGGCACTCACTCCTCTATCCATTAGGCTGTTTCTCCTTCCTGGCAGTAACTACTGTGTGAAAACACTGTATTTTTGTTTATATGATTGCTGTCACTTGCCTGCTGCTAGATTATAAATAAACTCCAGGAGGACAGGGACCGCTCCTGTCTTGCTCCTGTCTTGTGCACAGGCATCTCACTGCCCCTGGGGAGACAGGTATTTACTGACCAAATGGACGATCTGCCCTGTTGGATTGATAACTGTGCTTCTTTCCTCCTCCAGGTCTACCTTCTCTGCTCTGCTTTGTGTTTTAGGAGGCTGGTTGTTATGGACCTCACCACTAGGGCTCCCTTGCCCTCTGGCTTTCTATTGGGTTGGAGCAGTGGCAGGCACCAAAAGGAGAAGGAGAATTAGTAGGGCCATAGGTTGGGTCCTTGATAGCCCTGCTCCTCACTGCTTGGGCTCAGTTGCTTTGGCAGTGATTCTGCTCACAGCTCTTGTCAGGAGGCCTCACTCCCACAACAACAGATGTTGCTAAGATGTAGTAACGGCTTCCTCCTCTTGCTCCTCAGGCACAGAGGTGGTAATGGCTCCCCCTTGTTAGTAGTCTTAGGGTGCTGCACCATTTTCCTTCCCCTATTCCCATCCCTGTCTCCTCTCCCCAGTAAACTCTTCATTGACCCTTTCAAGTGTGCCATCCGGTCCTGTTGACCTTGGCTGGTACATGGACTGTTCTCCCACAGGATCTCAAGGATGTAGTAGTTTGGCATAAGATTTCCAGGGGCTCATAGGGCTATTTTATTTGTAAGAAATTAATTAGGGCAGAGGCAAACGTAGCTCTGTTCTAAACCTAACTTTGTAAAATCACGTCATCTTTTTGAGCTAGGAATGGCTTACCAGAACGTTCGCAAAAAAAAAAAAAAAAAAGTCCATTATAGTGTCCTCTTCCGGAAAATGAGGATGATACCTTTCCTTAAGAATCAGAAAACGAAAAGGCTTTAGAGCTGGCAATGCAAAAAAAATTCAGTGCAAGAGATAACAGCTTCTCATGATCTCTCCGAACCAGGTAGAAAGTGGTGCCGGCGGCTTGGTACCAAGACCAACAAAGACTATGCCTCGGCGGGGAAGCCCTCATTCATTCACTCAGCCATTTACGTACTCACGTAGAAACGGAGGAACAAGTTACTAAATTGAGTCAACATTTCTAGGACTCGTTTTATTTTATATCTTCCAGAGTGCACTCTCCGAGCAGCTTGTTTTACTGCAATATCTTTTAAAACACTACGGATGTGTCGCTGATACATTGAATATCCTCAACCCTATTTTCCCTTTTCCTATTGTTGAGAAGTCTCTGAACTTTTTTCTCTCTCCTTCCACTCCTGGGCCAAGAAATGGTTCATTTTCGGATTCCCCCAGAAACTCCAGGGCATCAGAGTCAAGGATAGGGAAGCGGATTCGCGGACACTAACGTTGTCTCCAGGCGGCGCAGGCGAAGGGCTGGGCTCTAAGGCAGGTCGAAGTTATATTCCTTCGTCCTTTGTATGCAAGATTAGGTTGTTACAAAAGAGGGTGTGTAGGTTAATGGCAGGAAGCGAGTTGCAGCGCAGAGCGCGGGCCCCGAGCGCGTGTCAGGTTTAATGATTTATTCAAGCTGCAGCGCATCCGGGCGTTGATTGGCTGCAGGCATGCGTCCGCTGTCAGCTGCGCGCGCCGGCCTCGCCCCGCTACCTGACTGCAGGGGTGGGGGGGGCAGGGGCGGGGCGCTGGAGGGGAGAGGGGCTCGGGCGCAGCCGGAGCCCGGAGGTGTGAACCGGGTGTACCCGGCCGGAGGTGGGAGGGAGGAGAGGAGAGAGATGGAGGGGGGCAGAGAAGAACCGGGGCAAGAGGGATGGGTACGGGAGAGAGAGAGGGAGGGATGGGGATGGGAGAGAGAGAGGGAGAGAGGGAGAGAGGGGGAGAGGGGATGCGGAAGAGAGGAGGAAGAAACACTCGAAAATAAAGTCCGGGGTAGAGAGGGCAGGAGAGAGGGGGGGGAAAGGGAGAAAACAGCCGAGGGGGAAAAGCAGAGGGAGAAATAGACAAAGAAGGAGAAGAGGGAAGAATGAATGGGAGAATGGAGGGAGGTCGGAGAGGGGAGTGGGACGCGCTCCCGGAACGCCCGACGTGCGCCCCCCTCCAGGCAGCCTGCGGGCGGCCGCTCACAA